CAACTTGTGCGTAATGTCTGTCCACACTAGCAAATGTGTCTATAGAGCTGGGAAAAAGTCAGAACTCGCTCATATATGCGATGTAGTTTGAAGATTGGTCGTAAAGACTAATGCAAAAGCGCAGGATCTGTTCCTCTTTCTTTCCTTTTCGAATTTCCTTACGCCTTGGATAGGCACATCATTCTAGATATCATAGAGTGCAACGGCAACTACAATGCATTCCACAAGTGTGATCTGCCAACTGTTCGTCCAGCAGATAGAGGCTACCCTATCTTATACGGACGAGGATGGGAATGTGGACAATCTCGTCGCAAGGACGCAATCCTATTATCAATGTATTCCTTGCAAAAATATTGTCCCTTAATCGGAACGCGCTCTATCTCCGAAACAGTAACACATTTCCACAACTTCTATGATTCTATTGCTGAAAAAGTAAGAGCACTCGACGAATGGCCGAACGACCTCCGCAAGGACAAGAACAGCATAAGATTTTATCAAGCACTCCTCAACAATAGCGATGCATTGAAGATCCCCCTTGTTGTCCGTCAGGTGAACTTTCTCATATACTTATTGCAGCTGGAGGGCAATGACTGTCTGATTTTCAGGCCATAAAATGCGTCCTCGTAATCCCCGCAAGTAACGCCGATCCAGAGCGCAGCTTCTCAGCAGCCACTAGGCTAACACAAAGCGATCGAAACAGCTTGGGAACCAAGTCCATAGATGCTCTGATGAGGTGGGTGCCGTTGCCTCGACAGAAAATCAGTGAACATTATCTTCTTACAGAGATACCCTTTCATCTCCTTACAACTCAGATTTTGTAGAGTCCAACGTGATGGTCCGAGTCTCCTCACTGTAAGACCTAAAAACCTCGCAAAACAATGGTTAAACCCGCTACCCGGCTTACAAGCTGGACGCCATAAGCCATCCAGCCTCGCAAGATCAGATAGTTTATGAAGGAGGTGAAAGATGCCTTAGTGAAAGGTACTCCTTCTCTCTTCTATGCCTTTTTTAATTTAAATCTATATTGATCCAGTTGATGGACGATCGCTTGTGGAACATTCTGTCACTCAGTACATGAAAGACAATCGCTTACGAGGCAGACGCGATTTCGAGGCCATAGTACAGTCGAGACGCGAATTAGAAACATCAAGAACGATGATCTTTTCTTCAGGAATTTTTTATGACAATATCCACTGATGAATCTTTTATCTTGCAATAAAGTACAGCATCTGAATTGACAATTCTTTCCACATCACAGGCACAGGTGAATCTCATCTTCTGGACTTCCGTTCGCACAGGAGAGCCCAACGGTTGGCTAGTTGGCTGATTCTGAAATTTCATTATTCAAACTAATTCGTATTATTGACTGTCCTTTCTTCAAGTCATAAAGTTTTGCAAGTTCGTTACTGCGCAAGCTCTGTCTCACTCTCGCGATTTTGCCACAACGGCACTATTCGGCACTGTCTGCCCCACTCTTTACGACCCCCCCCCTTTTACAATGTCCGTGAAGCGAGAACGTCCGTGAAGCGAGAACAATCAACTATCAAAATGAATTTTTCCTCAGCACAAATACGACCCCCCCCTCTCCTGGGGCGGCCAAATACGACCCCCCCCCATGGGGAATCCCCAACCGAAGCTGTGCCTGAGAAGTTGCGAGTTGCGAGTGGAGTGCCCTATAAAACCAACATTTTTACTAGTGTTGCGTGTCCTCTAATATATAGAATATATGTATCATTGAAGATTATATCAACGGATAAGCTAGAACAGATGAAGAGGTTGACCGATGTGCCGCCTGATTCGTCGCATTTCTCGGACTTACCATTGCGCCAATCAAAAGCGGCGTGTCTGCGCAGTTGGCAGATTTTTTTAATTCGCACAGGTTAGCAATATCAGTAATAAACATCCCATCTCTGACTTTGCAAGTAGCAAAAAGCTGAGGGTATGCCTCTCTGTCTCTTGCCTTTAATCCCCTGCACTTACAGCAAATATGATGGGTGATTTGATCAGAAGGCGGTGGGAGTGGAAGTTCGATTAGCCATAGTCGGGGTATGGTTCTTGGTAGGAATGTGGAGGGCGACATCCCTTCTCGTTGCTCTCGATGCACGAAGCCGGATGGTGCTGGTAGCAATAATCCCAATGTACAATTACTGTTATGACAGCGAGTGCAATAGGTCGCTCACTAAGCGGTGAATCGTACCAGGCGACAAACACCAGGCTTAGAAGGAGCTCGTTGAAAGTCACCTTCATGTTAAGAACACCAATTTCATCTGCTTCCTCATTAGGAAGAAAAGCTCGTGTGGAAAGCTCTTCTTTACGGAAAGTGTTCTGTTATTCATGTATGAATGTGAAGAGCTTTGTCATTACTTACGGAAGGAGTAAATTGCATCGAGGCTCTAGTTCTGTTTGTCCAGCTGGTAGACCTATTTCGCCGAGTTGAACGGTTTCTCAGCATTAGTGTCTCGCAAGGACTTTTCATTTTGAAATGAACCTAGTTTATCAGATCTTCACATAGCTACAAGAACTGATGAGCAGCTGAAATGTGCAAATTGCTGTCCAGAGAATGGGTCTGCCGTCGATATCGAGGTACCGTAGCGAGCCGACTTGGGGGCGTAGCCACCCACATAGGTACACTTCTGCGACATTCTTTCTGAGAAAGTTTGTCCAGCGGTGAAACATACCCTGCTATGTCAAACAACCTCCTCTGTGTCCTACTAAACCAACAAATCTGGTTCATATCCACGAACTCCCGCAGTTCCCTTTTCCAGCGTCATCTTCCCCTCGTTTACTTTTCTTTTCCCTTTATTTGCCTTTCTTGCTCGATTGGTTGAGCAGAGAATCAAAGGAATGAGCACTGTTGATTGAGAAACCAGGCTACCCATCACAGTCAGGGTACAGCATCGTTGTGCGAAACCCATAGGGGGGTCGTACTTGGCCGCTGGGAGGGGGGGGTCGTAATCTCAAGGGTCACTCAGAGCCGAGCAATGGTTCGACATTTCAGTTGATAGTGGGAGTGGAGCTATGGAAGTCAAGATGTTTAAAAAAATGAAGTTTATTATGAGTGTATTCTTTACAGCTTTAAATGCTACGTTTAACAGCCCTCTTTTCATGGGAAATCCCCAAGAATGGGTTCGTACTTGGCCGCGGGGGACGTGGGGAGTATCGCAAAAGTAGGCTCGCTAGGCATCAAACAGTACAAAGGTGTCATTGCTAAGGGTAATGGAACGGACGGAAAGCTTCAGAAGACCCGGATGTAAATAGGAATACAAAATAATAAAAGATTTATTAGCAATATAGCAAGAATAAATAAATAAATAAGTGTCAGTTTATAGCATGAACTCGTAAGTACGTAGATGACTAAATAATACGTCTCAAACAGATTCGTGCGTGTTGTCCTTTACAAACCCTAAACAAACATCTGCTTGCATGGATAAAAGCACCTGAAATCAGAATTTACACCTTTCCACCACCTCTGCGTAGGAGCCTAATGCACGGCGCACGGACCAAATCGATC